TTTGAAAGTAACGTAAAATCTGAAAGCTTTCAGATTTTTTTTTTTTTTTTTTTTTTTTTTTTTTTTTGTTTTGTTGAATTTTGTTTGTTTGACAGAAGTTTTACTATGATTCATAGCTTTTGCCTCTTCGTTCAACTCTGCAAGACGAGAAATAATTATTTTCTATTCTGAAATTGATGAAAAAAAAAATTGTTAAGAGTTTACCCCATGATTTTTGTCTTGCGAGAAAGAAACTGCACTTTCATATTTTCCAGCAGAAACTTATCAGCACTTTAACTAACATTAAATGCCAATGAATAAGTTTTCTTTCGGACATACATTTGAAGTGACTCGTTATGTTTGCGGAGTAGGAAGCACGAAATATCAACTACGCCTTCCAACTAGCTACCAGTTGGACATTTTAATTCCTCGAAAGCGAATGCGAGAAGTCCTCGTACGCTAGCTTCCGAAATAAGGTTAAAAACACTAATTGCAAAATATCTCAAAATGTATATCACGAATTCGAATTTTCGTAAAGAAGTATTTCATTCCATGAGGGATCGGTTTGATTATGGCAAAGCACTCAAGGCCTATTTGCCAAAGAGGAGGGTCGCCTCTTGGAGGACGTTCTAAAGGAAATTGACTTGGTATACACGTTACACATGGGAAGAACCACGAAAACATTTATGCAGAGAGCCCATTCGCCCGGGATCGAACCCATGTTGAATTATCAGTGTCCAGCGACTTTACCACTCGGCCACTGGTGGGCGTCGTGAGGAATTTTACATTAGAAAAGATGAATGTGTGTGCCGTGGACGCACACATTCATCTGTTGGTCGAATCCATGCCATCGAATTTTGAATTCATCAGTTGGTCAAGTCAAATAGATTCTTCTCCTTCCCCCCCCCCTACAACGTGAATTGATGAACGACTTTTTCCCTGTCTGCGGGAAAAGGTGAGTGATCGTTATTTAGCACTGATTGCGTTACAATTTATTATTACCTTTCGGTTAAAGCAAAGACGAGGTTTTTACTCCAAAGTTTTAGTTTAAAATGCTGTGTATATGTATTATATGTACACTAATGTTCAAAAATGTTTAAGAATGTTTTTACTCGAAATATTGTGTGCAGTTAATTTTTTGATAAATTTCATGTGTTGTTTTGTGAACTTTACAACTCACTCCTACTCAGAATTTGAATTATATTTTAATTAACCCACCTTCGTTTAATCTTTATTTAATATCTTTTGTTTAATTTCATTGTGTTTTTTTTAATCGTATCGTCAAATCTCGAAATATATATACAGCTTTAAAATGGGATTTATTCTCTACTTTTTAATTCTGCCATTCTAATTCCCATGTATTTCACACCGTAAGACCGCTTTTAACACTGTAGGAGAAGCGTATGAAGTTATTTGCTTATAGCAGAACTTTCGTGTATGATTTTCTAATGGGTTAGGTGGTTTTCATTCCTTCTTTTATTTTTAATACAGCTAAATGAAAAGAAAGGTTATTGGGCTTACGAAGGGGCGTCTTCATAGAGCATTCATATTTTGTAGTATTCACTTTGCGATTGGAAAAAGCGACGAAAAACGTCCAAGCAGTCAACTCGTTTCCCTATATTGGAACTTGGGTCGAATTATATTAGTAGTCAGAAGTGTTAAGCACTCGGCTACAGGTAGAAGTGACTGACTAATGGACTCATATTTATATTACACATGGGTAAAGGCACAAAAATCCTTGTAGTCAGCTCATTCCTGATCAGCTTAATTCAGGTGGAATTAGTACTAGTGTTCAACTGTCTAGTCTGCTTTGGTAGGATGCTCCTAATCAAGAATGACGTGGTATATTTAAATTTATCAATAGACTAAATAGTAGTATATCTGACGGGCTAGAACGAAATACAATAAAAATCGTGGATAGTCATTCAATACGTGGTACTTAAACCATGCACATCAAAGAAATCAAATCAAAATATTACTAATAAACAAAAACTTTCAGAATTAGTTAATAATTCAGACGCTAATTAGAATATTAAATGAATAATTATTAATTGCTAATTCGAAGAAGAATAATGAAGGCAGATTTAGAAGATTCGGTCAGATATTCATGGTAAATTATGAAAAGTCTTCACAGGAAACATCAGGACCTATTCAGAAGAAAAATATAGTACCTTCAAAAGACAATTATCCATATAAATTTGACAAAATGCGCATTATAACAGAAAATTGTTAAGGAAGAAATGTTATAAAAACTTTTATTCATTTTTTCACTTAGCGTATTTTATTTTATATCTTGTTATGCACTTTTCACATCTAAGAATAACAGTCTCATGAAATTCAGATTACCAGAAAGAGAAAATTTTGCGCATGCATAGAACAATTATGATACATTAAAAATACGTAATTAATTTATTCACTTAGCGTATTTTAAGTTCATATTTTGTGATACATTTTTGACATCTACTAAGAATAACGGTCTCAGGAAATGTAGACTATTAGAACTGAAAAAAAATTACGCAGGCATAAAGCAACTTTGATACATATTGTTACGAATTTTCTATATAGATATATAACTTTAGTGAAATTATATGTGAAATCATTGTATTTTTCTGTGTAACGTATACGAAAAGCTGAGAGAGATGATGCTTTGCCGGAAAACTAGGAATACAGGGGCAAGTCTATTTAACATTGAGTGAATGACTATCTGGCTAATTTGACCAGATATCGCCAAAACGTGGCTACATTTTGTTCAGGTTCCTGTATAACTGTAAGGGATATATCAAATGAATTATTATGTAATTGATGCTTTATGTAACTGCAATCTTATTCGGCCCTCATATATCTTCCAGTAATTTCGAGAAGCAGAAAGTACTAGAAATATCTTGGTGGACGAGTCAAAATTATAAAACCGAAGAGAGCATCAGTTTCGTCCTTATATGCTACACATCCCCTAAGAGATTTAAATTTCACAAAGTAAACTCTACACATGCACTGCTGTATTTGTATATATTGATTATTTTTCTCACTTAAATTTTCTGCTTGTATTTTGTGTATCTATTTTTATCTCTACTGTGACTTTAATCTTATATTCCAATCCATTAGGATTCTAGTTAGATCTCTCAAGCTATAAGGTATTTCTCCCGCCTTCCTAGCGTGCCTTCGTGGTGTAGTGGTTCTGCACGCTGGCCCGGTATTCCAGAGGTCCGTGGTTAGAGTCCCGGTAAAGGCGATTGCTGATTTTTCATCTTGCCTGCTTACAAAAATGTACCTAATATCTCTACAAAGCTTAGGAGAAGATGTTTTCCTCGCTTCAATATTTGTTAAATTTTCTTTTTTGTGAACCTCACTTGATGTATTTTTACGAGAGTTCTCAGTTCAGAGAGACTTCAAAGTATTGAGATATTCGCGAAAGCTTCGCCTTTTGGATGTGCTTTACACTGCATTGTGTTTAATGTTCTTAGTAGTTTGAAGTGTAACTATTCGTTGTATTCTGTTGATGCTGTGAACACCTGTACGAATATTTCTGTGGAAAGTTCCAGAAGTCTGAAGTGCTTATTTCGATAAAATAAATTTTATTAACGTAGCATCAGATTCAATTTATTACGAACCCGTACTGACGCAACAGTATTAAAAAATTTCTTGAAGAAGAATGAGCTTAAAAATAGGGGGAGAAAATGTAAACTATTAGTTTTTAACTTACGCATATATGAAATTAATGTACTTTGCCTTGTTTTGAATATTGTGTGCACTTCACGAAAAGTTGGAAACAATAAAAAATGGACAGTGACAAAGTGACAGTGTTATATCCTTTCCAGAAACTGAAAACCAAGATTTACAAAATATTATTACAAAAAGCCCAGTCGCGGTAAGATAGCTTCCCCGAAAAGCGGAGGTAGAGCTGCCAGAAAGGGGCAGGGAAAGGCAGGGTTGCCAGATTTTGTGCGAAATAGCCCATCTGGCGACATTTGGCAACAAAACTGGCGATATGCCATAGATGGAGCGAGAACATTTCAGAACGCCTTCTTAGCGGTTTTCCTCGGGACGTTCTGTAGGTAGGTTAAAACTAAATATACTCTACCTGTACGCCGAGAGAGTAATATCTTGAATTCGGTAATGTAGTAGTGACTGGAATTCAGAGATTAGCTTGAGAGCGATCGACCGAGTCGCGAGCTGTGTTTAGTTCTTTGCCGTGAAGCTGTCTTCACCGTTATAGGTTGAAGGCTGTGTTGCTGATTGTTTCTGCGTATTTATCCTGGTTTTTCAACGACTGTAAACGTGACCTTGGAACTGTCCTCTTTAATTCTGACGAATAAACTGTATTTTAATTCCTCATCAAGTGTTATAATCAACTACTCCAAATCCACGAGCCTGTAGAATGCAACAATGTATTTATTATAATTTGGATATGTTTGAAAAGATGGCTTAAAAAAAAAAAAAAAAAAAAAACATGGCATTTAAACCTATAATGAGACTTCAATACGTGTCTCATTTCTGGTTCGCGTTGTTGAAAAAGGTACCTGCAGCAACCGATAAATTAAAAAAACTCAAAGCCATTATTAACTGATTTAATTATTTAAAATTTTTTAACTTATCGGTTTTGTGTTAAATACTTTATCTTTTGATTTTGTTTAAAACTTTTTGTTAATACTGGAGAACGGTCACTTTAAAAATCAAATTTAATAAAGTCCCAAAAATGACCTGTAGTATACCTTAGCATGCTTACCACATGAAAATCGTATACTGTAAAGGCCCTTATTTTCGTGGGCTGTAATTTTCGCGAATTTTATATGAATAGAACCGAAAGTTGAAAAATTTCAAAAGTACCTAAGTAAAGTTGAGAAAGTTGAAAAATTCCAAAAGACTTCCTAGCTATTCTCGACGAATTCGTAAGAAATTTCGTGTTTGTCGTACAAAGTGCCCCCCCATCGACAAAAATGTTGTTTCCCCTGAGATGTTAAGAGCGATAACTGATTCGTTAACTTTGATCTAAAAAACGCAAAGTTTGTGCCTACACATTGGACATGAAAGAACGTGGTTCAAAACAAGTGTCTGTAATCGTCATGGAAGATAAAAGAGAGATGACTGTTTTGTTAGCATGTTCCCTTGCTGGAAACCTACTTTTACCACAACTGTTGTTCGCTGGAAAAACAACAAATTGTCATCCAAAGTTTAAATTTCGCGCGGACTGGGACGTGTGGCACACCGATTCGCCCTGGAGTAATACTGACACAATGATTCGATACATCGAGAATATTCTTGTACCTTATTACGACAAGCAAAGAGAGATTCTCGGGCTAGTTCCAGAACAACCTGGTGTAGCATTCTTCGAAGTTTTCAAGGCACACCAAAATCCTCTTTTTCTGACTGAACTAGAGAAGAAGAATATTATTCCAGTTTTTGTGCCCGCTTCCTGCACACGAGAGCTCCAACCTTTGGACTTAACTGTAAATGGCGAGTTCAAGCGTTTGCTCAAGAATGAGTTTATTGAGTGGTATTCTAATGAGCTTCAATTTCTAGAGAAAAAAGAATCCGTGGACTTGCGAATATCACGACTAAAACCGATTCACGCTTCTTGGCTTGTGCGCGTATTTAACGGTATTGAAGCCAAACATGAGATATAATTTTGAATGGCTTCAAAGAAGCTGGTATAAATAGTATTCCAGCTTCTTTGAATGAGAAGTGAATGAGCTGTCTTCTATTAATTTTATTGTTTTGTATTCGAGAAATATAGTTGTATATTATTCAAAAAATAGTTATAAGAAAGAAAGTTGTCAAGAAAATGCTTGTAACTGTGCAATAAATCATTAAATTTTGGGTAAGCGAAAAATTTCTGATTTTTTATTATTATTTGAGGCGGGAAAAAAGGTATTTCGCGAGGCTTAAATTTTCGCGATTACGACGGGCTCCCGAAAATCGTGAAAATTAAAGTCTCGCGAAAATAAGGGCCTTTACAGTATATGTCGAATTAGATGTTTGAAAGAAATCCCACAAAATGTTAGGCAGAATTTTTTTTTTTTTTCCAATTCTAATTATTGCACGATCCTTCTCGTGACCTCTAGTAATGAGCAAAAAAAGAGGGGCTGTTAAAAATTTCTCGAAGGGACCATTTTTTAATTCGCAGGCCAGCACGGAATTCCCCAGCATCGGCTTCGTCAAAGATAAGTGACATTTTCTACTCTCGCGCGCTGGAGATAGTTTTTTTTTTCGCACAGTGTTGCCACTGCTAGCTTTGAAATCATTGAGTTCGTTAATCAAAAATTCGTTAAAGTTTTACAAAATATGAAATAGATAATAAAATAAATTCCAAATTTGGGTTTCCAGATGCCCATATTCTAGTAGAAGATTACGTTATTCAAAATTCGATGGCTCTAGGTACCGTTGTTTTATCACAATGCGAGATTTATGCAGATTCCTCATTATTTAATTTATTTAAATATAATGGAGGGCTCTAACATTTGGTGACAAAAATTTGAAAAGTGATGCCCCGTTTGTAGTGATTCGATGCGAAATTTAATTAATAATAAGTAGAATAATATGCTTTATTCACATAAATATTCTTATATACCTTAAAGTCACTTTTAATTGCTTACTTTCTTTACCATACTATTTATTTACTAATTTCTTATTTTAATTGTTTAAATTCTTTACTAACATTTCTCCCAATCCTGAATGTTAAATTAAAAAAAAAAAAAAAAAATTAATGAATTGCAATTCCCTGTTCATCTCCATGGTGTGCCATTGGTTGGGAGTTTAGAAGGGCGGGTCCGTCTTTTGATTGACAGTCTTGAGAAAACGGTAGGTTGGGGAAGTTAGAGGAAGTCGAAAAACTTATCCAGATTCTGAAAAGACAAGTAATATTGTTCCTTTTCCTAGTAATATGGACATTCCAGATGATTTTATAGGGCTTTTAACAGAAAACCATATGCTTTATAAAGGTAAGTATGCAATTTTGCATTATATACATTTAACTGCGAAAAAAAAATTTGCGATGAAAAAAAGTATTTAGTGTATAGACTTATATATAACAAAATTTTTTGTCTTTTGGAAGTAAAACGTGTGCCTTAAAACAAAAATCATAATTTTTGTTATTTAAAATTACTTATTATAAAAATAAGCACGTTTGAAAAGACATTTGTTACGAAGAATAATAATAAAAAATAGAAAAGAAGGCATTTTAAAAATATAATTTTAATTTAATATATAAACAGAGTTACGAGTAAGTGAGAAAATTATTTATCAATATTTATAATCAATACCAGTGATTTTTTTTAAAATTATGGCTGAGAGAGAATTATTCAGACGATTTTATAAAACACAAATATCGATGAATTTCCATAAGACGGCCAACCTAACTCGAGAATTGATGTTCAATGCTGACGTATGTTTACACTCTAAGAAATTCAAAATTTTTACTTTCAGAATTGATCGATTACTGTTAGGTTATTGGATATGGCAAAGCATATAAGAATTGTTTGTAAAGAGAGGGATGCCTTCTTGGGAAAAATTTTAAGGGTCATCTTACGGAGGGGTCGCCATATGAGACTTCATATTATTAATAATATTAAGAAAAATATATAAATTATTAAGTACAGTGGACCGTACTATAACGATCGCTTGTATTTCTAGGAGATTTATTCTTGTATGGAGGTGTCTTTTAAAGAGTTGATGTCCAATACCGATGTGAATTATGCTCTCAGAAATACGATTACTTTCAGATATGGTCAACTTATGGAGATGGTCGCCATGAGGGGTTGTACTGTACTTTTGCGTCTTTAAATGCTATTTGGGTTAACCACGTATATATTTAATATGAAAGATTAATTAAAGATCTTCTGCCCTTTGTAAAGGTATAAACCTCTCAAAACTGGACAATTTACCAGACCGCGTGACTGATAAATGTAAGGCAATGTAACGTAATTTGACCCCATAAACGAAAAGCTTATAAATACTTCTAAAGTCGAAGTTTTAAAAGTTAATTACAGTAAAATCTCTCAAAACGACCACCGTCCACAGAAGATCCATCTGGAAGTGAGGAGCATCACTGAGAGCATAACATCATCGGGTTTGAACTTTACCGAGTAAGAACAACCACCTCCACTGTGTACAAAAGTCATTTGAAACATGGGTAATCGTCTCAGAGAGAGTTTATTGCAGTTTTATTTTAAACGAATTACATTTTAAGGTGCGTAATAAAAATGGGGAAGGTATTTAGTCTTTATTCTTACATTAAACATTTCAACATGAATTTCTGATATGCGTTTTATTTGGCTTCTTTAATATTATTCGTATACAAATATAGTATAACGTGAATAATACAGAAATAGATGAAATATGAAAATGTTTTCGTTTTAAAATAATGGCGATTATCAGTAGAAAATATAATGAACCCTCTGTAAGACGACAGCTCATTATTCCAGATGATTTTAGTTTCCTGCGCAAGGTAGTTTACTTTTCGTGATGTTCAATACTGATTCTATTTTTATTCTCAGGCATACTATCTTTTTTTTACCTGTCTGAAGGAAGGAAGGCCTTTGTGGAAGACTTTTTAATGAAAATCTGCTGGTGTTCATGTCACACACAGGAAGAGCCCCGAAAAATAAATGTACATCGAGCTTGTTAGCCTCAATTCTAAGTTGGGTAGAATTACCAGTATTCAGCGGTTTTAACCATTCGGCAATAGGTAGGGCAATTGTCTTAGAGAGGTGGTTACTTTGAGACGGTTCACTGTAGTAATATCTGGCCGCCTTCGAAAGTGAGGAATTAGTAAGAGCAAATATCTTCCATGTGTTTAAAACCTTAATAAATGTGTTTTATTTTTTGCGCTTTCTGAAAAATTACTTTTTTTCAGCATCTCCAAGATATTATTGATTTCATTACGTGAATTTCCTTCACTGATAGCGTACCGGTGGCCGAGCGGTAAAGCTGCTGACCACTTGTAGTTCGGTTCGAGATTCGAATCCCGCGAACGGGATGACTGCGTGGACGTTTTCGTGGTTTTTCCCAGTGTAACATGTATACGAGCCAGTTTCCCTTAGAAAGTCTTCCACGAAGACATCCCTCCGCTTAGGCAGGTAGCCTTAATATGCTTTGCCATAATTAAGTAAACCAAATCTTCCCTGGCAAAATATAAGTTTATGGGTCAATGGATCCGTTTATGGGGTTTATGGATCCTTCCTAAGATCGAGCCCCCCACATTTCTAGATCGTGTTTTATCTTCTGTGGAAACGATAATTTTAGAATGGTAACGGTCAATACTAATGTTTATTTGTGTTTATTTGTCAGAAATGCTACTCACTTTTAGAGATGATTCTTTGTGAGAGGCTAAGAGCCCCGAGAAAATGCACTATATTTGTTGCAAATTTCATGCGCAGTAGAAAAAGGGATAACTAGTCTTAAATAATATCCTTTTTTTATTAAATGCGTGAAAAAGTTTCAATTGGCATTTGATGGAATAATATCAAATTCCCCTTCCCATTCTACAGTTTGGCACTGCTAGTTTTAACAGTTTCAAACAAGCTTGTTTTGTGGAGATTATTAGGCTCTAGAAGCCAGAAACATCAAGAATGAACTACGCCTTCGTTGGGATTCAAATTATGGATCTTTCAACTGCTAGTTGGATTTGCTAATTACTTATGCCACGACAGAGTAAACTGGAAATGCTATGCTGTTAAATATGTAGTTTTATATTCTGTATATTGAATTTCTGGGGATTCATTCTTTAACTCGTAGGTTTATAGTAACTGCTTAACTTAAGCCTATTTCAGCTATTAAACTGAAATTCTGAAAAGGGAAATCGAATTGCAATTTTTTAATTATTCATTTCATTTGCTTATTTATTTTTTAATTTGTAAGGTATCGTAAAAGCGACTGTTATTTTTTTCAAATAATCAAGTTTCTGCCCGTCATAATTAATACACTTAAAATGCATTTATAATACATTTAATGCACATCGTTAACGTCTCGCATTAAGTTAATCAAAACATAAAAGGAAAAAAAAAATCACTGAAACCTTGCCGATTAAGATCCCGACTAAAACGCTTCTACACAAATTATGACTTGTTGACAAAACAAAATATTGAAGTTGGATTTGAATGCTCTGTAGGTTTGCTGGCAGATTAACAGAGAAGATGAAGGCTATCTGTTAAGCGAGGGATGTATTCGTGGAGGTCTTTCCATAAGAAAACTGGTTCATATTAGCTTTGCACATGAGAAAACCTCGACATCCCCATACAACCAAAACGTTTGCTGGAAATTGAACCCGGAAAAAAACCACAGCAGTCTTACCCGCTGAACGCTGGTTGTTATCTGCTCATGGAAAGCCTAAAAAACTGCTCTTAAATTCTATAAGGTAGTTCTCCCACCTTCTTAGCGTGCCTTTGTGGTGTATTGGTTCTGCATGCTGGGCCGGTATTCCAGAGGTCCATGGTTCGATTCCCGGAGAAGG